ACAAAATTAAAAACATCTGTAAAAGGTCAGAACATTCAGTATTTTAAAATTAATGAAAATAACAATTACGGCAAGCTATATACAGTTTTAATTATAAAAAATGTTGAAATATCTAACAAAATATGTCTTGCTGTTGCTTTGTGGGGGAAAGGTGGGGACAAATATTTTTATTTACATATATTTATTAAGAGACTTTCCATATGGCATTGCAAATAGTCCTACTTCTCTCATCTTTGACTAAAATACATGAATTCACTCAAAGGAGACAAGATACATACAATTGCAAAGGTGGTGGGAAAGTAAGCTACCACACACCCAAGACACCTGGAATTATTACTAAGGGTGTTCTCTGAACATGTAAGGCACACTAGTTACATAGAAAGCACACTGCCGACTCCAGGAACACACAGCAACTCCACTTTATTAAACCACAGAAGAAACAAAATATAAGCAATTGATCTTTCACTTTCTTTTTTCCTGTACGTTATGCTTAAGGATATCTTGTTTCTGATTTATCCAAAATTAATTTGCCTCCTATACTGAACTTGCATTCCTCTTCACACTATCTCTATGTTCATCATAGATTCCTTTAGGTTAAATATGTTTTGTATATGAGAAGATAAATGGTAGCAATTTTAAACCTCAGGAACTAGAAACTGGAATTAGTTTCATCTTTTCTTATATAGTCAATCAGAGTCCTTTATTTCATAAGCCCCAGCAAACGTTGCCAAGAGAAATGTGGAAACCTGGTCTCACTGTCTTACCATTCTTCAAATTTTGAAAATCTACATTCAATAAACTTCTGTGCTCTTTCCTGTATTTGTAGTTCCTTCTCTCTTAATAAACACACTGTGTCTGGCTGAACAAAGAAGGATCATCTATTTGACACAAGAGCTACAGTCTTTTCTCCTGAACTCTTTGAGATGGAGGTCCAATCTTTGGTTTCTAGGTTTTCTCTCATATTTATTCCTGAAGTCAAAGCAATCCAGGAGAGTTTTGGTTCTGAAAGCTCTGTGACTCAAGATAACCCTCTTAAACTCCTCCTCCTCCTCCCATAATCTCCTTCTCTACTCACTCTTCAAATTCTGGTAGTTAAAATTACCTTTAATCCATTCTTTCCTTTTCATCCTTACATACTCAACTCAAATTCTTGTGCATTCATAACCTGCTGTACCAGCTTCCTCACGAGACTGACTCCTTGCTCGACTGGCAAAGTAATTTATCCAGAAGGCAAATTATGTTATGTTACCCTGTTTCCTTAGCACTCTTTAACAGATTCCCTCTGAAACAGTTTGATACTTAAATCCGATACTTCACAATCTTGTCTTTGTATACATGCAGACCCTTGCCTGTAATTTCTCCTTTCTTCCTCCAGGTCTTTCTATATCACTATTTTCAAAATATGCCATTGCCACTTCCACCTTCTCTGGCTCTGCACAGTCACTACCCTTTCTTAGACACCATTCCTCTCTAGGTTGCCTGGTATATGCTACTTTCCCTCTGCCTTGGTTACATTTCTCTCCTTGCTGAGACAAAATACCCGACACCCAAAGCTAAAGTGGGAAAGGTTTACTTAGCTCACAGTCTGTAGAGGTTTCAGTCCATAATGGGTTGGCTCCAAGGCAAGGTGGCTTGTCAGAGGGGCATCACAGAAAACAGTTCATGACATCCACAAGGTAGCAAAAGCAACAAGAGCCCTTAACAGTGTCTTTCTGCCCCTTTTATCTTATCCAGACTACTGGATAGATAAGTTGTAAGCAGGCAGTGCTTACAATTTTAATCCTAGTGTCCTTGAGCCTAGCATCACACCATGAATCAATTCCAGTGTCACACACTCTAGATGCAACCACCTCTGAAAAAGCCCCACCTATGATTGCATGAGGCTTTGAGGGGACATCTAGACACAAGCCATGACTCTCTTCAAACTTTAGCTCCAGTACAACCTTCCCAGGAAGCCATTCACACACTGCCAGTGGATGAGGTTCCTGCTGGCTTTCCACTTTTATATTCTTCCATTTTAACACAGACATCATTTCACTAAAATATTTCTTGTTTCATTTTCCTTGCCAAATTATAAGCTCCTTAGAGAGAGGTAAAGCGTTTTTCTTTTGTATTCCCTTCACCAGCAGAGTTTCTATTTCAATAAATAATTGTTGAATTAATGTTTGGTGAAGTGATTTTACTGTTTATGTATTGTAGAATTTAGAAGGCAGGGTACATAAGGGTATATAACTAGGGTCTTGTAATTAGGAAGTGACTTTGACCCTACATGCCCCTATACACTTCTTAAGTTAAATTCACCCAAAGAATGATTAAGAGTGACCACACTTATCAAAACCCCATGAAAAGTCAGATGATTTACTTACTGTTCATGCATCCCATATAGACAGGGTCTTGTCTGCAGAGCCTGTAAGAAGAATGTTGGAGAAAGGAAAAAACTCAATGCTGTTCACAGAGTCTGTATGGCCACACAAGGTACCTCTGCATCTTTCACTGTATGGAGAGAAATAAGAGATGAAGTTTTAGGAGTTAGTATATAAATGCTTTTACTGTCTATACAATGACAATAAAAATAACTAGCTTATAGTCTAAGCATTTCATAGAATTAGCATAATATTGATTAAATTTAAATTACCTTCAGTTTCTAAAATCACTTGATAAAGTCATTTTTATACTGTCTTACTTATGTCATGGAATGACTACATATAAGTTATCTCCATCTAGTAAAGGAATATGTTAAGAAAAGAAAGTCTTATACTAATTCATAAGATCAAACAAATTTTTAGGTCACTAATTCTCTTTAATTCTTTTTCTCAGCCTTGGCTGTGTGTTAGAATCACCTGAGACACTTTAAGAAAACATGGATATCCGTTCTCAAGGCCCACATATTCTTTTTCCTTTAACTTAGGATGGAACTTAAGTATTCATGTCTTAATGCCTCCTGTGGTGATTATAATTTATGTTTAAGCCTGAAAATCTTGGTGGCTTTCAAGGTGCTTTACCCAGATGAGCACTCTCAGTGTCACTTGGGAATGTGATCAAAATGCAGATTCTCGGCCTCATCCCAGACCTACTGAATCAGAATCTCTGAACTGGGGCCCTGCAGTCTGTTTTAGAAAGTTCTCCACAGAATTCTGATGCATACAAAAGTTTGAGAGTCATTGATCTAAACCACTAGAAGTCACTGAGAAAGGAAGACAGTTGTAGCTTTGTTTTTTGTCATTTTATGAAAGGGTTGTTTCTTAAATCAAGGGTACACATAGAACACAGTCATTCTTCATTTGTAATTATGATTGCTTCTAAGTAACTTTATAAATCTGTTTTTAAAAATAGAGAAAGAAGCAGGGTAACTAATGTGTGCTGAGAACAGAGGAATTACTATTAGGGCATTCATAATTTGATAACCAGTAATAATCTCTAACTGGTTCTTCTCTGACCTAGACTAGGCTTATCCCATACTATGGTAGGCAAAACTCTTCAGTAGGAACCAGGACACCAGATTCCAGTTCTGACGTTGAAAAGAACTAGCAGGGTAAACATAGGTAAGTCCTAAAATCTCAGTGGCAAATACCCTTCTTGTGTGAATAAAACATTTTACTTTGATTTACTCAGAGATCTAGTTTAGCTCCATCCTGATATTCCCTGACCAATGAATTCTATTGTAAATATTCAATAGAAGGGAAGAAGTAAATTTGACCAAAGCATCTAGGAACTGTTACTAACAAAGCTTATTCTTCTCTTCTTAAATTCCAGCATTTTTGAGAAGAGATATTAAGATTCATATATGTATGAACATGTATGTAAGTTACTCAGCAGCTTCTCCCTTTATATATCAAGGATAAATATTACAGTACTTAATATCTGGAGTAAGGAAATAAAATCAATAAATTCGTTAATTAGGGACATTACATAGTTAGACTTTACCTCAAAATTTATGAGGTAGGCTGATACAATTTTGATGATTGAAGTTGAATATATGCCAGTATACACTGAGACCAACAAATCATGGCTCATGAATCAAGTGCTTATTTTTTTTAAAATAAAATTTTATTAACAGGCTAATTTGTCTAGACATTCTCTGTTGCTGTTTTTGAATTACAGTAAGACAGGTGCATAGCTAAAACAGAGACAGTATGGCTCACAAGCCCGAAGCATTTAATATGTGATCCTCTAAGAAATACAGTATATTTTTCTTATAATGTATACCAACAGGCTCAAATATTTAAAGGTATACTTAGCTTTTGCCTATGACATTTAACTTTTTCCACAAGGATGCTAAAACTTACAAAATAAATTATTTTCTTTTTAAATAATTAAATTTTTGTATGATTTATATCTGCTCTTTTGGAGTAATTCTAAAACGTATGAAAATTTTTATTTAAAAGTTTACATTCTAAGTCTACTGTCTTGAAATAATCATCTTTAAATATTAGTGTAATTGTTTTAGTTATAGCTTCTTGAAGAGACAGAGATAGGGAGAAGTGGTAAAAAAGAGAGAAAGAAATATTATGAAAACTGAGAATTATGTACCTATTATAGTAAAATAGAAAATTATTAAATGAATTCATATATAATTTAACCACAAAACAAGTGTAGCTAAAAGCATTGCCGAAGGACAACTAAAAAATCTTTTAGTACAAAGCAGCACTTAAAAAAAGATATCCAATATTAAGAAAAATATTAAAATTACATGTTATCTTTAATAACATTTTCATCTATAGAAATTATAGTGAACAAAAAAGATAGTTCTTTAATTCCTACCTTTCTTTACACATCTTTCCAAATTTTAATTATTTTTCATTTTAGAATTTAAAAAATCATAATACATATTTTGATCTGTAACAACAAATCCTATAGTTGTATATTTTTGCTTCCTCCAACCTCCTAGTGTTTATTTAATACACATTTACAGTCATTCTCTGCTCTTGGTCTTTCATACAATGTCATAATTATTTAGTACTTCAGCAATTTTTACTGGTTATGATCTCTTGAGTCCTATGTTCTCTTCTTAAAAGTTTGTGAGAAATATTTCATTATGTCATACCACTGCCAAAGTCTGAAGCCAGGCTAAACTCTCCACCACTGCCCAGCCTACTTTCTGGGGAAATTATTTAGTTAAAGCCTCTATAGTTCTTCCATAAGCATTTAAGTTCAAAAATTTTGGAACAGTATGTCTTGGTAGCAATTTCCTGTTACTATTCTCAGATGTTTGTTATTTCTGAAAAATTTCTTCTTCTATATTTTTTTCTCCTGCTTTTATTAATTTTCTTTAAAATCATTGTGTTATATTTTGTCTCATTTGCCTATACATTGAACATTTTATCTACAAACATTGTATTCTTTTTCCTTAATTTAAAAAAATTTATAACCTATTTATGTTTATTTATATATTGGGTGGAGGAAAAGAAAGCAAAAGCTTTTTTTTTTTCTGTGTTCCATTTCACTTACTTCCTGATATTTCTTGGTTTGCATTTCACCTGTATCTCTTGCCTTATAAAATCAGGAAATATTTAGTTTTTTTGATGTTTTGTTTTACTATATAAACCTGATTTTTAAAATAGCATTTCTGTAATTTGAAAATACAGAGCATTGTTTTGTCTGAATTCTTGATATTTTTGGTGATTTCTTATACACTATATATTCTTTATTGGGATGTTTTTTATATTAATTTATCCTTTACATTTTGTAATTCTTCATGAGTTCTGGGTTTCTATTTCTTATTATGTCTTATATTTGTATGGGAATAGCTACTTAGTAAACATGAATGGCAGATGAGAGAAAATGGGAAGATTAATTGGAAAAAGGAGGGAGAGGTAATCTGGAACATGTTGCTATGGTTTACATCTAGATGTCCTCCAAGAGGCCTGGGAGCTTTTAGGCTGGGCTTTGGCAGGGTGATTGAATGGTGATGGCTTATAGCTGACTTGCTGTTTGCAGGTGGGTCTGGTCAGGAGAGCAGGGGTGTTGGGTGTGCGGCCTGACAGAATTTATCTCCCGCCTTGACTGCTCCCTTTATTCTCTGTTTCCAGTCCACTATGTCCTTCTGCCATGCTATCCTCCCTAGGAGCCAGCATAGTAAGAACTAAAACCTGAGACAAAATAAACCTCTCCCCTCTACCTTGTGGGGGCCAGGTATTTTGTTTCACCAACAAAAGAGGTAACTAAAACACTTCCAGTCAGATTTGTTGTCTTCCATAAAAAAATTTCTAACTCTGTGTGTTACTGACTTGCTCCCTCAAGTTCATCTCTACTCGATTTTTCTATACTAGAGAATAAATGGAGCTTGTTACAAATATCTTGGATCATAGGCTCTGTATTAACTCTAAATGTTCCTGGTCTCTTACCACACTCAATCTGCTGTGTGTATTGCAGTTGCCTTTATCTCTCTTATCTAACAATAAAAATTCCTTCCTAGAAATCATGCTTCCAACAATGATAGAGTAACCAGTACTGCAATTTTCTTTCCACAATAAAAAATTATAAAATTATACACATTACATAAGGCAAGTGTTTCTAGCATTAAACTAAACATAGCATGGGATGGTGATCTGAGAAGCAAGAAAGAACTCAGCACAAACCTTTTAATCTCTCTGATGTACAGCTTGGAATCACTTTCCCCTGATGGGAGTAGAAGTGAAATCTCCCCAAGCTGAGGGGCAGTGAGAAAAGTTTGGGTTGCTGAGCTGCCTGAAAGTTGCACAATAGGACATCTGAGAGAGCTTATGATTGGTGTAGCTTGTATGGTATTCACCATGAATCAGTTCTTGGCTAGGGTCTAGACAGCATTTCCAGAGGATTGCACAAGGCTTGGGAGAGATTCCCTGCCCTCCTACTGAGAGCTGAGTACTGACACCAGAGAGCAGGAGCTGCTGGAAAACATTAGCATGGAATCCTAACCAGAGTGAAGAAACCTCCTGTGCCCCTCAGATTTGCAATTGGGATTCTACAAGGTCTCCACCACAGGAATGTCAGGTTCATGAGGTAAATTCAAAACTAGAATAAATTACTTTTACCAAAGAATAAAAAAAAACGTGAAAGGGCAAATATTATCTGCTCACAATTACACTGCTTCATAGAAATTCTTTTTTATAGAAAGACAATTCAATATATGAACTGTGAGAAAAATACATGGTGAATGCTTAAATAAAAATTTATTACAGAAAAAGATACATTGCCATTATACCCTAGTATTCCCCATCACTTTGAAAACACTTTTCCCCACATTCTTACCACTTTCTGAAGTAGTTCTGGAAGTCTTGTTTTGTGAGTGTCTTTATAAAGTATCATCAAAAGTATAGTAAATGCAGATGCCGAATGCCATCCTACAATAAAGCAGGCTCATGAAAACATTAGAATGTGTTCTCATCAACCTACCTCACAGGATCTGGCACCATGCAATTTCTTGTTCTTTTCCAAAGTCAAAATGATTGTGAAAAGTAAAGGATTTGAATCAATTCAGGACATCAAGTTAGCCACAACAGTGAAAGTCAGTT